TGCAGTTGGATAAAGAATAGGTGTATTTTTGATAAATGTAAGACTGTTCCATTGGATATTTATACTATAGAGAAATGTTAGAATTTTGGAATAGAATGTACAATAAATGAAGATAGATCTGGATGTATCACAAAATTAGATTTATGTGAATAATACAATAAATTATAATGTTTAACTCCGAATCAAAGTAATTATGATGAAATTTAATGTTTTTGGGATTAATCTAGTAATGATTGTAAAGAGATTATATGTCATAAAGCAAATAAATAAATACTAGAATAAATAGAATGTGAATAATTTAATTATAATTGTTAAACAAAATAATGTAAAATATCTATATGCATGGATTATGAATATAGTTCAGATATTGAATGTTCATAAGTTTTAATAAAGAATAAATGTACTACAGATGGAAAATAATGTGTAAATAGAAATTAATGTTAAGATGTTATTGATAAAGCTGGTTGCACTTATTCAATTAATTTTTAAGATTGCATTTGGTTATAAAATGAGAATCGTTGTGTTGATAAGAATTGTAATTCAGCTTTAACTTCTTTTATAAGTCATTAATAATGTTAAAATTATTTATAATAATGTACAAATAGAATAGGTGGAGGATGTGTTAATATAACAACATGTAATTCAATTTCATTTGAAGATGCTTGTTTTTATGATTAATTTAATTAAGATTGTTTATGGGATAATATGAATAAAAAATGTATTAATTTAGAATGTTCTACTTTCTGTGGAGATGGTATAGTAGGAGATTTAGAATAATGTGATGATGGTAATCTATTACCTTATGATGGTTGTTATAAATGTAAATTTTAATGTTATTATGGATGTAATAATTGTATTGAACTTAGATGTTAAGAATGTGATTAAGGATTCTAATTAAATTTTGATGGATCATGTACTGAAATTTGTGGTGATGGATTTATTGTTGGATTAGAAGAATGTGATGATATGAATAACATTTAAAATGATGGATGTTATTTATGTAAATTTCAATGTCATTAATAATGTTTAGATTGTATATTTGGTTTTTGTAATTAATGTGCATTTGGATGGGAATAGTACAATAACTAATGTTAATCAATTTGTGGTAATGGATTATTAGTAGAATAATTTGAATAATGTGATGATGGAAATAATTAAGATGACGATGGATGTAATTCAAAATGTCAAATCGAAAAAAACTGGATATGTTTCTAATCATAAATCAATTAAATAACTGAATGCAAAAAAGATTTAAAACCTAAAATCATTTTATAAAATATATCTTAAAAAAAGGATTCCACATAAATTATTTAACTATAATTTAATTAATAACTTTAACTCAAAAATAATACAAGATTTGAAGATTTTATAAAAATTAATGTTACTGGAAATGTTGAATTTCACCTAATAATTGAACCAATCTTTGCAGCATAACTCTATCTTACTAATATAGTATATAATATTCATATAACTTTGTTAGAAAAAGTTGATTCTCCTTATGTCACCATTTAATTTACTTAATCTATTCTTATTAATGAATAAAACTAAGAACTCATTTAATTAATTGATACTATAAGTTTAGGTACTCCCTCTATTATATCTCTACAATAGTAATCAAGATTAAATAATACTATTGCTTTTAATTAAATTATGATATATGTCTTTATTGGATCCTCTTCACTTTCCTTATTAACTGGTAATTTTGATTTATTTTTTAATATGCTAGCACTACTTTAATAACTTTCATACACTAGATATTTAAGTGTTCAATTTCCAAATCATCTTGATTAATATTTAAAAGTATTTAAAGTAGTCTCCTTTTAACCTTTATATGATCAATTAAATATAGATAGTTTGTTTCAACAATTAAATTTTGGTAAAGTACCTTTTATTCAATCTAAAAATAATGTAAAATAAGATTCAGAGTTTAACAATTCTTTCTTTTTAGTCAACGCTAAAAGCTTTTACATAACAATGTTTGTATCAATATTTCTATATTTTTTATCTAAATTTATAAATCTAATCAGACCATTTTTATATGTTGGTTTATTGAAAATTACAAAATTTAAATAGCTTAAAATTTTATACAAATTATTCAAATTATTGAAAGTATTTGCTTTAAAAACCTCACACTATTTTATATATTCAGGAATAATTAAAACATTTATTTCATGCTAATTTTAATTAATGTATAGTGCATATATTTAATTTCCAGAATATAAATTCAGTTTTGAAATTGAAAATCTATTTGAAACATTCAATTCTTTTAATGCTTTAATTAGTATAATTATACCTCATATATTTTTATTCAAATCTGTCACTCTATTAAAGAAACAATATAAATCTAGTACTAATAATAAATATTCTATTTTTTATGAGAATGTTAACCAAGATTATTGGTCAAGATTTTTCATTCCATTTTCTATGATCAAAGTAAATATTTATATGGCTATTATTTGTTTTCTATTTGATTCACCTATTGTTTAAATAATTTCATTAACTATTTTGTGCAGTTTTTTTTGTTATTATATAATTGCTGTACGACCTACTAATTCGAAAGTTGAACTTTTAAGGCTCTTAATTAAAGAAATTTTCTTTTTAATTATAATTTCATCCTTTTTTCCTTATTGTATCAATTTTTATGAGGATTTTATTACTGTTTTAGGTTGGATTCACATTGGATTATTTTCATTTATATTAGCATCAAATATTTTATTGGATTCTATTAAATAAATTTATCATTTACTTATGGTTTATGAAAAAAATTAAACACAAATCAAACGAAGAGAATAAGTTCAATTAATTAAAAATGTTCTTTAAAAGGTGGTTTACCAAAATTAAATTTAATAGAATATTTATAAAGAACCACTATCTATTGGATATGAAGTATAATCTAACTATTCAAATTAAATTTAATCTCTTCATTGAGTTTTGAAATAAGTATATCTGTACTCATCTATATTATTATAAAATTCCTAAGTATATATATATACCTATTCAATTAAAAAACTATATAAATATTAATTTTTTGTTTCATTTTTATTTTAATCCTACCTTCCAGTTTTATAATTGTTTTTTTTATATTATTCTTAAGATCTAAATTATTATTATTCTGTAGAAATTTCTGGTCTACCTAAATCATGTACTAATTAGAACATATAATGCAAAATATTCTAATTTAAAAAAATTCATAACTCTGTAAAGTTATTACTAAAATTAATGTTATTTATTGCTAGAATTAATTCTATAAATTATGAGAAAATTTAATATTAATAATATAGAAATTAATAATTATATATAATTAATATATATATATATTAAAACAATCATTTATTTTAAATTCATTTTTTATAAGAATTTGATAATAATAAAAAATCATTAGTATGAAATGGGATGGATTATAAATTAAAGATCATAAAAATTAGAATAAATAATATAAAAAATAATGATTCTTAAGTAAATATATATAAAGAATAGAATACTCTTTTATTTTTCTGATTCTTTTATTATCACATTTAAAAATTAGTAAGTTTTGATTATTTATATAGTATTAAATTTATAATGAAAAGTTTTAATATAATTAATATTGTTCATCTATTTGTAATAAGAATTAAAAAACAAATTATAAATTTGGATTTCTTAAACCAAAAATAATGTTTGGAGCATAAATTAAAGAAATTTTAGATTATATGAATAAAGTGATAGAAAACAATAGTTTATTATCTTTTAGATAAATATGCCAGATATTAAATTAATTAAATAATTAAAAATTGTTATAATCATAAAAATTTCTACAAGTGTTAAAATTAGATGATTTTCAGAACACAATCAATTCAAAATTAAATAGATAATACACTTATAAATTTATTAAATAAAGTTTGCCTCTAATAAAAATCCAATAATTTATTTAATTTAATAAAAAAATTATGATATATTAAAATAATAGATTATAAATAAAATATCTGTCAATACAATTTCAAATTTAAATAATCTAAAAGCGATATAGAGTCTAAAACCTTTTTTTCGCCATCATTTTCTTTCTTTTCTTTAAATAAGACATGAATGAATTGCTTAGTATTTTGATTAGTTTTATGATTGGTCCACATAAACCAATAATAAGAATTCCCATTTCTAAGAAGCCTATATATAATTTTGTATCTTCGGAGAAATACTCTGAGAATTCAGAACAAAATATTATGCCTATTTAAGTAAATAGCATTATTGGAAATTCAATAAATAGAATCATCAGGAGTTCAAATTTTGTTGATACCAAATTAAATTACCAAACAATACCAACAAAAAATAACTAGAAAAAGGATAAAAGTAAACATTAAAGTAGTGGCAAGTCTTAAACTCTGATCAAAATTAAAATAAATAAAAGTTTTTTTAACAGTGTAATAGATTCAAGTTGTTATTACTTAATATTTTTGATTAATAAACTTTTACTTCCCCTTCTAAATGGGTTAATTAATCTTAAAATAACTAAAATTAAAAACATCACACAGAGGCAAATAGAGATTTCTGATCTAAAATTAATTTCTGTATTTGAATCTAAATAAAGAAGTGTTTTGAATATTAAATCCCAACTATTAGTGTAGAATGCTAAAATCAATTACTACTCTAAAAAAGTATAAGATAATTTACGGATTTTCCTTTAAAAATTTAGTATTTTGAATACAATTTTATTAAGTATTTTGGAATTTATAAATCTTAAATTATATAGATGTCTGGATTTAAAGCAAGTATGTTTTTAAAATAATTTATAAACATAAAGTAATAAATAAATTAATAGAAAAATTAAAATTTATATTAGCAATCCACAAATATTGCTTAAAAAATCTGCATTAATTTCATATTAATTAAATTTGCCTCTACTTTTAAGATATTCTTAATTAATAATTAAGCTAAATGCATCAATTACTTTTAAATTGATAAAAATAGTATTTAATTATACAAAATCTGATGATTAAAAATAAATGTATAAATTTTAAGGATAATCTAGATTTATAAACTTAAGATTAGATTAATATTATAAAATATCAAGTATTTCTAAAAATTACATAAACTATCCAGAAATTAATAGTAATATACCAAATCCACCTAATCCCATCATAAGATTTTATCCTAATTTTTATATTTCTTTAGTTGTTTCTAATTAATATGTGTCCATTACTTAAGGTATTTTAAGTTAAATATTTAATGATTTTGGAGGGACCATAATATTATTTTCATCGTATAATGAAGTATAAATTGAAACTGTTAGATTAGGTTGAATTTCAATTTTTAGTAGAAAAGTAATGATAATATTATAATTAATATCTCGTGCTTATTCAAGAATAATAGGAATTACTGGTTGAATGGTTAAATTATATTTTTCAGGTTAGATATCTTAAATAGAAAATGAAGTTGAATCAATAAAGAATGGATTTGATTCATCTAATTTAACTTTTTTAGTATAAGTTAAACGAATATATTAGGTATCAAAAGATTGACTTAAAAATTGTAGATTAAGATTTGCAATTTTATGACATGTATTAAATTAGAGATTTGAAAGATTGCAATCCCATCCTGATTCAATTATACAATCTTCTGAACATCCATCATTATTAAAAGTGTTACCATCATCACAAAATTCATCATCTGATTTATATCCATTACCACATTTTATACATTAACCATCCTCAAGCGTTGAAAATTATTCACATTTTTAACATATATCTTTAGAACATAATAAACATCCTTAAATACAATTTTTATTTATTGATTATTATTCTGGATAATTATTATTATTATTATTATTATTATTATTATTATTATTATTATTATTATTATTATTATTATTATTATTATTATTATTATTATTATCATTATTATTTATATGATCTTATTATTGATTCCATTCTATGCATAATCCTTCAATACATGTTTTACAATTGACTTCACATTAAAATTAACAATTATGACATCCATCATAAGGAATCTAATTTCCATCATCACATTCCTCTAATCCTTCAACCTGATATTAATCTCCACATATAGGTATACATTAATTTTAAATTAATTCAAAATAATCTTCACATATAATACAATTATGATTATTTATACAAAAATTACAATTTTAAATGCATTCTAAAACACATTAAAAACATCCATCTCCATTTATTTAATTATTATCGTCACATTATTCAATAGATTAACTAGCTAGTAAACCATCTCCACAAATTTATTAACAATTATTATTTATTAATTACCATCCATCTCGACATAATAAACATATACCATTTAAACAATCTAAACATTCTAATTAACAACTTAATTCATATTTATAACATCCATCAAATTATTAATTATATTAATTATCACAAAATTCTTAATCTATTATTGGAATACATTCTCTACTATTCTTGCTAAGTTTATATTTATTCTAACATTCAAAACAAATTTCTATTTTACTATCCTTACATTAATCTATCTTTTTATTATTAATTTAATAATATTGATAATTTATATATTTCATCAAGCTATTCATATTTTAATCAAATTGCTACATTGTAATTGAATCAATGGGGTTTTAATATTAAAATAGTTTTTCAACAAAATTCTTGCTTTATAAATAGCATCCATAATCTTAAAAATCGCCATCAAGTTCTAAATCATAACAAGTGTGAATGCATTAATTATTAATTAAAACATAGTTTTTTTAGCATACTAAACATATATCAAATTAACATAAATTGCAATTTAAATCACAATAATAATTATATTTTTTGATCTTATTATGGATTGGAATACCAAATTAGTAATAATTTGAAAAAACTTAATATTAACATATAGGTAGATAAAATTATTCTTTTTTTCTAGGATAAGAAACTAAATGTTAAGGTAAACATTAATTTGATTAATTTGAATCATTAGAAGAAACACATAAACCGAATTAGCATATGTCACATTCTAAAGGACATGAAAATTTACAATTATAACATCCATCAAAAGGTATAGAGTTCCCATCATCACATTCCTCTAATGATGTAATTATAGTATCTCCACAAATAGATAAACAACTCTTAGTAATCTCAACATATTACCATCCTTTCTAACAATAAATACATATTCCTCTAACACAAATTTCACAACCTTAAATATTTATCAAATTAATAGACAAACATCCATCTAAACCACTTTAAGTATAATCTTAACATTTTTAATTTGCATTTGTATTTTATTTAATAAAAAGTTGAAAGTCACGAATCCCAAACCATGGAGCCCAAGAGGTATATTAACTACTCATTGATGTCTATATTGTTATTTTAATTGTATTTGTAGTATGAGCATATTCGAAAATATCGACATGTCTTAATGTATAATAATACCAAAATCCATCAAAATTTTTATCACTGTGAGTATAATCTATCCATCCCTAAGTGTAAGACCATTATTGTACAATAATGTCATCTATTTTAAAAGTAATTGTTGTAGATTTAGAATTTAATATCATTACTTTTAACTTTAAACTTATAGCAACATGCTAATCTAATGAGATTAATTTCTCGAAAGAGGTTCCCTATGATTTATGATAATAAAGGTCTATCATTTTAATTAATAATATATACCATGACAATAATCGATATTATTTGAAGGATTCCAACTTTCTTAAACACTTGGTGATGAAAAAAAAACTGATGTAAAAGATTGAAAAGATATCACCTAATCAAAACAACCTTGAGAATTGCAAAATGAGCATCCACAAGCACACTCCTCTATAATTAACTTGAATTCTGAAATTCCCCATTTTCCAAATTAAGCAAGAATTGCTATTTATGCAGAAGGACGATTATGTTGATAATCTTATGATATTTCTATGATTTCGTCATTTGATGGTTCACCACAAAGTTGTGTTGCACTCATTGAACAAGAGTATAAATGGTCTAAAACTATTTCATTATCTATGTAAATTAAAAAACGATTGTTGTTCCAATTATCTATTCTAATTTATATATAAATTATTTATATTACTGCCAAAGTTTAAATTCAAGTTTTACCTTATAATGAGGCTCTAAACTAAATGATTTATGAATCAGCACATTATATTATGTGCTTTGGTTATCAATACTTAAAACATTATGACCGTTACATAAGGCTATTCCATAATAGTGACTACCTTTATTTATTCTTAACCAATCTATTATTCTTTAAATCAATAATTACCATTGTTTAAATTTAATGTCCCAAAAAAATTACTGTAAACAACCTTGTACGAACTATTACTTCTTATTAGCACAAAAATTATCACAAATATCATTTTTTTTTTATCTGAACTTATCTTTTTCATTATCCCATTCAGGAAATGAATCATAAAATTAAGGATTATCAACATAAATTAAATATTTTTTATTTTTCTATTAAAAATTCAATTCATAATAATTAAATTTACAAAAATAGATTTATAAAAGTAGGAGTCAGCATAAATAAACTTTTACACTTTAACCCTATAAAAAATTAATTCAATTCATTTTTGAATCATATTTCTATCATAAATAATTCAAAATTTTCAGAGGTTATCAAAATTTAAATTAATATAAAATTATAAAGGACTTAAAATTGAATTCATATTTTAAATAATTTAAATTTAAATTTATAAGAATAATTCTTCTCTTTATAATTTATTTAAACCTATCTAATTTCATTTATAAATTTTTAATTTTTAAGATTAAATAAGAATTTCATAATAAAATTAAGGATGATCAGTTCAAAATGAAAAATTATATTAGATAATTTAATTAGACCATTATAATATAATAATAATCCTTTATTATAATCTAATAAATCAAATTATACTACTTGAATTTAGCTTACTTTTTTCATTTAAATTATCCTCATATATTATTCGAAAGATATTGATTTTTGATTTCTTTAAGCTGTTTCTTCGAAGATGAAATAAAAATCTTCTAACTAGAAAAAATTTTAATCTAATTCTTTAAACATAGATTTATCAAATCGAAGTGGAAAAAATGATAGAAACAATAAAGTATATCAAATTCAGTATTTATTTTATAATTTAAGATTCTAAATATCACAATTCTCAAAAATCATCTATAAAACAACAATCATACTTCACTCTTTAAATATTCAATCTATTCATTTGTCTAACTTATTTTTACAATTAAACTTATTATAATTGGTTATAATGATTAACTAAATATTATTTTAATAAAAAAATTTGTTCTAATTAAAATCTAGCTTTTACTCCTTTATAAACTAAAAAATCATGGGTCTCATTATGTTTTCTTTACTCTTGAGATTATAGAATTTCGATTACTATTTATAGAGTTAAAAAAAATGCATTAATGAAATAGTATCTGGTATGTTTTTTTTTATACGTATTTTGTTTTTAATGTAAATTTATCTATTTCTCTCTGAGTATTTTATTTATTCTTTATTTCAAAAATATTTCAAAGGGATTTTATCATCATTAATCGTTCTAATTCTAATATTGTTTTGCTCAATAATGCAAATCTTTCTAGCAAGTCCATAATTATCTTTTTTTACAGATTATTTATATTAGAATAAGTAAGGTAAGTAATTTAAACTATAATGGTATTTTATTCAATGCAAAACTATTGAATAAATAATGTTTTAAGAGTATTAAAGTAAATTTTATCATCTTTATTGAGAAAATTAATTTTTAAATACTAAATTATGTAGTGAAACTATCTTTTTTAATTTAAATTAATTATTATCTCAAAATTTCATAATTTTACCATAGGTTAATCTGTGAAGAGCATTATAATTTCATTATAAATATTTTTAATAATTTTAAATAAGAAATTATGATAAATAGCATATTGAGTACATATATATTAATATTAATTTTTATGTAAAATAAAAATAGTAAATTATAATTCATAATAGGCTATAGAAAATATTCTGTATTGNTCTAATAAATCAAATTATACTACTTGAATTTAGCTTACTTTTTTCATTTAAATTATCCTCATATATTATTCGAAAGATATTGATTTTTGATTTCTTTAAGCTGTTTCTTCGAAGATGAAATAAAAATCTTCTAACTAGAAAAAATTTTAATCTAATTCTTTAAACATAGATTTATCAAATCGAAGTGGAAAAAATGATAGAAACAATAAAGTATATCAAATTCAGTATTTATTTTATAATTTAAGATTCTAAATATCACAATTCTCAAAAATCATCTATAAAACAACAATCATACTTCACTCTTTAAATATTCAATCTATTCATTTGTCTAACTTATTTTTACAATTAAACTTATTATAATTGGTTATAATGATTAACTAAATATTATTTTAATAAAAAAATTTGTTCTAATTAAAATCTAGCTTTTACTCCTTTATAAACTAAAAAATCATGGGTCTCATTATGTTTTCTTTACTCTTGAGATTATAGAATTTCGATTACTATTTATAGAGTTAAAAAAAATGCATTAATGAAATAGTATCTGGTATGTTTTTTTTTATACGTATTTTGTTTTTAATGTAAATTTATCTATTTCTCTCTGAGTATTTTATTTATTCTTTATTTCAAAAATATTTCAAAGGGATTTTATCATCATTAATCGTTCTAATTCTAATATTGTTTTGCTCAATAATGCAAATCTTTCTAGCAAGTCCATAATTATCTTTTTTTACAGATTATTTATATTAGAATAAGTAAGGTAAGTAATTTAAACTATAATGGTATTTTATTCAATGCAAAACTATTGAATAAATAATGTTTTAAGAGTATTAAAGTAAATTTTATCATCTTTATTGAGAAAATTAATTTTTAAATACTAAATTATGTAGTGAAACTATCTTTTTTAATTTAAATTAATTATTATCTCAAAATTTCATAATTTTACCATAGGTTAATCTGTGAAGAGCATTATAATTTCATTATAAATATTTTTAATAATTTTAAATAAGAAATTATGATAAATAGCATATTGAGTACATATATATTAATATTAATTTTTATGTAAAATAAAAATAGTAAATTATAATTCATAATAGGCTATAGAAAATATTCTGTATTGTGTATATTTAATTAACAATACTTAAATTAAAATATATAATTTTTATTAATAATGAAATAAATTGGCATAACCAATCCAATTGACATGTTTAATTTACCCACTAATTCACAAAAATAAGAAAACTTATCATCAAATTAAGATCAAATATAATCCTATAATGAATAGTATTCGTAATAATAAGAAATATCAATACCAATTACAAAAATCTAAAACTTAATAAAGGATATTGAGTTCAAAAAATAAAAGTTATTTTTGATCAAAATAGTTGGAATATTTATAATTTGGACACTAGTTTTCCTTTCATTATTTTATTTGTTAAGTTTATTAATAGATTTTAAAACGCCAATAATGGGTATTGTATTTACATATGTCTCAATTGGTATTTTAATTCTGCTAATGAGAATGGGAGTGAGAAACAAAAATAGATAAGTATTTCTTTAACATTATACATTATTTTAGCCATTGAAAAGTTGCTTAATATTGTTGGGATTGCTATTATTTTATACTACTCTATATTTCAGTTTTTTTTTAAGTGTAGGAGAACTAGAACCAAATAAATTTTCTCGTATCTATATTTTATAAATTTAGTTGACACAATCTTTGTATCAATTGTAGTCATAACTATAACATTGAATTTTTTTGTCAATTTTATAGTATTAACCTATTTACTCATAGAAAGAGAACGAATTCGTTTTTTATGTAAGAATATAAAAGTATATTAGACATAATAATAATTGAAGTTATTTTTCTAATAATTCTTTGCATAGTGTTTCCTCCAACAATAATTTTCATCCCATTACCCTTTCCTTATACATATTGTCTTGTAAAAACCTTTCAATAAATTTTAATTGGAAAAGTATTATTTAAAGTTTTAAAATTTTAGTTCGATTTGAAATAAAATGAAGTAATACCTGGAGCAATCGCAGCATTTCTTGGCTTATTTAATACTTGCAATTAAGTATATAGAGATTTATGATATGAGCTAAAAGTTTTTATTTATTTATTCTTTATATATTATATCATTATCTAAAGTCATTTGTTAACTTTAGAATTTAATTTTAAAATAGAATAAATTCTAAATTTATTGACATCTTCTTTATTCTATCTAAACTTTCGTTAATGTATATAATATATCTATATATAAAGGTTCTTCAAAAGATTATAAAAGACAACTAAATTTGATAAATTTAGAATTATCATTAATCATATTATCAAGACTTATAAAGTAAATTATAAATTTCTATAACTCTTTTGTATGCACATTAGATTTTTATTTAAATTCAAACTTATTTATTAAGATGTACTATATCATCAAACTAATTTTATTAAAGAGAGATTATAAATTATGTTGTTTTATTATTGGAAATATAGATTAAATTATATTCCTTTGAGAATTACAAAAATAACATTTATAAAATTTACAATTTTTTATAATCTATTATAAAGAGTTAAAGTAATTTAGAATATTTTATATATAATGAAAATTCTTATAAAGAAACATAAAAGATAATTATCAAAAAATATAGACTAACTTAGATATATGCAGAGTACAAATTGAATTATATCTTTATTAAATTATTGAATTCTATTTTGAAGGAATAAAGAATTTATGATATCATACATAAAAAGCATTATAGGAACAGATTCAATATAAAATTAGAAAAAAGGTATATCAACATTAGGTTTATATTTTGGAAAAGAAACAATCCTAAGTTTATGGACAATTATTCAATCATAACTTGAATAGTTATTGATTGATTAAGTCTTAAATGAATTCATTAAATATATTAATTTAGTTTGATCTTAAAATCAAAATAAGTTTATGAATCTTATTAAGTGAGTAAAAAATAGGAAAGATGATAGATATATTTGAGTAGACAGTTTTTATACATAACTGACATAAAAAAATGAGATAAAAAGAGACAAAGGTATGAGTATAGAAAGAATTTATGAGTAGATTACATGAATTAGCGAATTGAACTTAATTTGATCTATAAAGTTTGTTGAGTGAATAGATTTAGAATAAAAAATTATTTTAGAGATTGAATTATTTGTTTTATTTTATATAAACTAAAAAATAATAGGAAAAGAAATGCAATCAGAACAAGCATGGCATGGTTTGAAATCTTGTAAATTTAACTATTCAGAAGTAAACCTTTTTAGAGAAAATAGAAAATTCATATAAAACCTTAAGATTGTATAAAGGATTTTGCAGGAGGAGAAATTCAACATCCATTAGGAAGAGTACATTATGATCCAAAATTTGGAGATCCTTATACATGGATACCTCATCTTAAAACTAAGATACCTAGACCTGGAGATGGAAAATCATAAGAATTTCCTCCTGGTATAAGATAGCAGTTATCATATTAGGAAAATAATTTATTGAACATCATCCATAAGAAAAGAAACCTAGAGCATAAAGATTACATTTAAAAGAAGGATAATCTGGACATATAGAGGATGTTTCATATGGCATTAAAACATTTCCACCTATACATTGTGAATAAAGACATGAGATTGAAGAAATGATGGGAAAAAAGTAAAGGTTAGAATATCTCTATTAAATGAGAAATGGGTAATTAAAATAATTAAATTTAGATTACCAGTGGCATCATTAGGAGATAAAATTTATAAAAATCCAGACTATGCACCTGATTTTTTTAAGGAAGGTGGCTTAATTACAGGATCTAGTAATATTTAAAGAAAAGTTAATATTAATTAATTACATGAAAAAGAAATGGAAAAAAAAATTTAATTAATTTAATCAAAGATTAAAAAAGGAACTCTTTGGACTAATAAACTTAAAATGGATTAAGATGCAGAAAAAAAATAAGATATTGAAGTAAAAAAATAATATTATCATTATAGGATTTAGATACATGGATTGAAACTACATTAAAACCTTCTAATCCAAATTATTAAGATCCTGATAAATTTTTTGAAAATTTAGAAAAATAATAAGCTTAAGATCCTAAAAAAGCATAAGCTAATTAAAAAAAAGCTGGAAAGAAATGATTAGCTCTATTTGGATTATCATACTAAATGTCATTTTATCATATTTATTTTTAATTCATATCTATTTTTTTAAATTCATTCATTTCTACTATGTTTATTATTATTTTTGACTTTAATATAAATAACATTATTTAAATTTTTATTTTATCATCACTAAAAGCAATAATTTTATTATAAAAGAAATGAAATAAAATTTATAAAATTTGATATTATTTCAATTAAAAATCTTATTTTGTTTATTATAATATATCTTTTTGTATTATATAATCTCCTTTTAAAATAATAACGATTTTTTCATAGTCTTACATAAATTGATTTATTAATGGAGTTTACTATTAATATTTAATTAAAATTAAGGAATGAAATAGAAGGTAAGGATTGAAAATTTAAACAAAATTAATTTTATTTAATTTAAGTAGTATAGATTGATTAATTTGTTGTAAACAAAATTTTAATAATATTTAACATAAATTATTTGTTCATGAAAAATGATTAAAGTATATGGAAATATAACCCATCATCTTTATATAGAGAAAAACAATATAGTATTTTTAGATAAGTAGGACATTAATCACTTAAATAATTATTACCTTAAGAAATACATAATAAAAAGAGAAGGCATAATTTCAGTTTATAAAATTCTTTTGAAAAACTGCCAGAATTAGAGAAGACTAGAAAAAAATTTGTTTATGAGCTACCAAAATTAGAATATCCATAACCTTTAAAATTAATGACAGTTGAAGAATATAGAAATATATTGGAGAAAAGAATTAAAGAAGAAGAATAAATAAAAAAATAAAGATGGGAATTACCTAAGATAGAAGTATTTGTTAAACCCAGTAAGTATTCAATAAAATCATCAATTGATAATGATAATCTTAGGATTCAGATGGAATAATTCTTAATTGATTGATGCAAAGATTAATATTAATGATTAAATACTGAAATGTAAAATAGATTATTATATATCTCTTATTTAATTTTATCATTTAGTTAGCATCTTTTTAAAAGTTTATCTAGTTTTAACTTATCTAGAAAAATAGCTTAAGCATATCATGCAACTCCATTTTCCTTTAGGAATTTCCTTAAGCTTTAAACATCTAGGATGAAATACTCTAGGACAAGTATCACATAAAAGTACTTTACCACCTTATCCACAAACTTTGCATTATTCTTCCCATTAATTCTCTCCATCTGATTGCTAAAATTTTTATACTTAATCCCTATAATTTTCTTCAATAATTAAGGATGGTTATTATTATTATTAATGTGAATATCTTTTCTTTTCTTATCTTTACAATTCTTCTTATTTTCTTTAAATGTACATTTTAATTACTTCCTTTAAAACTATTAAACAAGTTTTTAGTTATAATGAATCACAATATTTATCTTTTACTTAATCTAATAAACATTATTTTAGATTTTCAAAATAGCATCCAAATAGTTTCATTGGCATTCTTCTAATTTTTAATTTATTAGCATCAAGAGCTTCTAATTATCTAAAATTTTCATTCTCATTTTAATTTTAATTTTCAAGATCTTCATCTTCCACAATTTTTTTTTTTCTTGTAATTAGAAAAGCTGAATCATCATCAAAATCTATATAAAGATTATCATCTAAAGTATCACCTTCTTATAATTTATCTAATCTTTCTTAAGTTTATGTATTTTCAATAAAAAATTCTACTGCTTTTTTTAAACAATCTATTGAATCTTTGTTTTCATCATAACTTTTACGAAATACATTACGTACATTAGCACTACACCATCTACAACTTTTATCATTAAGATAATTAGTTAAATTAGAATCAATTTCAGTTAATAATTTACATAGATGAATTAATTAAATTTCTGTTTACTTATTTAAACATGATAATTTGTTATTATTTGATTAAGAATCTGGTTATGTTTTTTCTATAGATTTATCATGCCCATTTAATGCTACAGAAGGATTTGAATCACAAAGAATTAATTTTTACTTCTTAATTTCTTCTAAATTCAATTTCAATTAGTATTCTTTAATACCTTTAAGATTTAATGTTTATAAAAGTATTTCAACATCATCAAAATTATAAAAACTATATTTAATAATTAAATTTACCCCCATTTCATATTTGAATCAATCCAAGAATTTTTCCATTAAACAAATATTTTATCCCTTTCATTAAGAAAGAAATAATATAATGAATTTTTCAAATCAAATCCCAAAAACATAGAAGGATTTATTAATAAGTTGGGTATTTATACTAAATGTAATTCCTGAAATATTATTATAATATAATTACTTCTTCAAGTTAAATATATCTTTCTTATACTGATATAAGTTTCTTTGTGAAATTAGATTTCGCTAATTCTTTTTCTTTTATTTTATTATTGGTAACTTCTATCTATTATTATATATTTATAAAATCTGTTTTATTCAAATCTCCAGATGTTAAGTTTTGCTATAAAAATATTAAATTAAATTTCTACTTTGAGCTATTATTGTTCCAATCCAAATTAATCTATATTTTGCTATAATACTACAGTTTAAGATCTTAGTTCTTTTACTTAAGCTGCTAGCTATTCTTTTATTTTATTATTTGATATAAGAATTTCGACTCTATATTAAATTAAATTTTAAGTTTTTTTTAAATCAGCCAATCCATCTATTAAAATGAGAATTAGATTAAGAAAATAGTCTTTATTATTTTTATCCAGCAATTTCAAATCTTCCTCTTTCAAACTTAATATTCCTTACTGATATAAATAATGTGCTATATATTGTAATGATTCTTTATATATTTCATAATATTGCTATCTATTATTATACCATAAAAACCCCATTAAATACCAAAAAGCATTCTAAATAAAAATTAATTATTACTTCTTATGCTTTCTAAATTTACTCAAAGTCTACATCTTCAATTAACTATTTTGCATAAAACCAACTAAAAAATTCAACTAACTTAAGAGGTTCAGTATCTAACATCTGATAAATTTATTTTCTTGATTTCTATGAATATAACTAATGATGATCTTTGAAATGAATAAATGTTCCTATTTGAGATTACTAAACTAATATTCAAATAAATACATTATCTTAATTGCTCTCTTCAACATTTAATATATCACTAACAATTTTGTCATAATTATTATATGCATCCCAAATGATTAAGACTTATTAGAAATATTAGTTGGGAATATCTTAGTCTTCTTTTATTTAAGGTTTCTTTTTTGATTCTACTTGAAAAAGGTCTTAATATGCTATTAAATATTCATCAAGAATAGGAAACAAAATTTATCCTTGATTTTTGTATGTTGGAAATCTCTACAAAAAATCAGTTAGAGAAACTTTATTTTCATTATCACTTTATTCTGTACTCTATATTTATATTTGTATTTTTCTTTTCTTTCTTTTTTTATCTTTATTTTTTTTGTTTAATATCTCTAATCTATTAATACATTTTTTGCATATCCATTTTTAAGTTTCTTTGTTATAAGATCCATATTAATTTTAATTTGCACACTCTTGATGATATCTAAAATGACACCTATTGCATATATTATAAAGTTATTATAAAGTTGTTTATTAACATAATCTACATATGGATTTATCTCCGAATTATTATTTTCCATCAAAATTAGATCTAAATCCTTTTTAAGTCTTATCCGATTTTAATTATTTCTTGTTCTTTTTATTTTCATCAATTTCTTTTCTATTTTTTTAATCACCTTATTCTTCAGCAATTTCATCTACTATAATTTAAATGATGGGTTCTTCAAATGTAGTCATCAAATAATAGATTGAAACTAATTATATATGATATTCTTTTTATTCATTTTATACATTTTAATTGAAGTCAAAGGATTTAAAAAATTTGTACATTAATATTTGTCTTGGTAAAAAAGTTTTATAGCTCTTTATATTTAAGTAATATAATTAATCAATAGATCATTGCTTTAATCTTTCTGAAATATCATGTGAATTTAACAATTTAACGAACTTGATTATAAAAATTAAAAAGTTGAATTGCATACTGATTCAATTTGATTTAATGATTCTACTGATTGTTATTGAGAAAGGACACTAAATATACTGTTTGATGTAACCTTATTTAAAAAATTTATTTATAATGGAAATGGTTACTCATCCGCTAAATAATTACAACAATTAGATATTATATTTAACTTGATTTTTTTAGCTTATATAAAATAGCTGAACTAGAATTAGTTTTCATCTAATTTATTTACTTTTATTTAACACATTAAGTAGAATATGTAAATGAATCAGAAAATGAACAATTAAAATTGAAATTTTCCATATATTGTAAAGTTCTTTTTATGCAATTCTTCTGATTTTGTTTTAATTAAATTATATAATGTCGAAAATAAATACTCCTATGAATAAATCCACCTCAAAATTCAGAAACCATAAGAGAATAGAGAAGCATAGAAAATAATCTTTGATTAATTTAGTAATTTCTGAGAATATGTCAACTCGATAAGTATAATTTATGATATATGAAAGGCTGCTTAAAAGCTTTCCATAAAGTATTCAACGGCGAAGTATATTATGAAGAATTTTAAAAGTAAAGGAATTTGTATGGAAGAACAATAACATACAAAAAGTAAACAAAAATCAATTATTTAAAATGTTAATATTGTTGTGGATGTATCAGATGGCAGCATTCTTATGGCTAAAAATAATCAAAAAATAAGTTATTGTGATTTTTCTTCTTTACAAGAGGAATACAAAAACCAGAATTTACTTTAAACTTCAGAATTGATCTATGAAAAGCTAGGGAAAATTTCCTGGCATAAATTTCATTATTAAGAATGTCGAGACGAAGAAATGTTAAAAAAATTTCTCCATAGATAACATACTTAGATGAAGTAAAAATGAAAAATTTATTTATATCATATATGTTTTATTAATTAAATACTTTCGTAATTAAATCTCAAGGCTAATTAACAAAGATCTACATATAATATATTCTTGAATTATTCTTAATCGAAGAATTTTCTTATAGTATCATCTTCCTTAATTTGTATAAGATAAATCCTTCTATATAAGACGTTAAAGATGAAGATATTATATCTCGAAAGCCTAATTAAATTTTTTTTAAAATAATTTTCATCTCTTTAAACAAATTTTTGCTTATTTTTGGATTTATAAGGTGCCATTCTATTATGGGTGACTATCATGTAAATCTAATTTCATTTTGATAACTTTGAGATTATAAAAGTCTTATTAAACAAGGATTTTAATTATTAAATAATTTGATAAAAAGCAATGTTTGAATAAAAATTTAAAGATTTGCGAACGAAGATGAAGACAAAAAAGGTAAAGAAGATAAGTCTCTCATTGAAATAATAACTCATAGAAAGTGTTATGACTGATCACTTATCTATTCATTAAGTAATATAATTTTTATTATTTAAGGCCTCGAAACTTCACTCCATCAACTATTCATCAGCCAAATATATTATAAACTTATATAAAAAAGTAGGTACTGTAGCTCCTCAGTAGTCGAAGCATAGAAGAAAACCTAAGGTTTATATCATCAACACATCAGTTTTAGTCGACTACAATTCTGGGGAGATTTTACTATATAAATAAAATTAATTAAAAAAATAGAGTCACTAGGAGAACTAATAGTTATCTATGCAGAAAGGGCTGATCATGGCTTCAAAATCAATATTTAAGTCACTTTAAATAAAAGAAAAAAATATTTCTTAATCAAAATCTGATGAGAAAAAATTTCCAACATTTACCAACATATTAGAACTATAAAGCTTCATCTAAATTCAACATAGACTCATGGTATCATGATTAAGTAATATATATTTTTAATAATATTGATCAGATGAAATTTTAATAATCTAACGAATTCAACAATATTATAGCTCATTTGTTCGATTCTATATCAGATTAATAACTGACTCCGCTAATTATAAATAAGTAATATGATAAACATTAAAAAATAAGATTAAGTAAATTTGTTCTGATTTAGAAATAATTTATGCATTTTATATATTATTATTACTGGTTGAATGACATATAATATATGTTTTTAATTATTGTTAATCGTAATATCAAGAAAAATGATAAATTATGAACATGAGATTGTATCCTCGAAGAAATAATTCATAGATTAAACAAATTAATATCATATTTAAATCATATTTAACTTGGGATAAAAATTAAAATTAAATGTATTATCTATTAATTATCAAACATAATTCATATTAGTAAAGAATTAAATGGTTTAGAACTATTTTTTGCTTTTATATTCTCTTTATTAGAATAAATAATTGAAAATATATTCTGCTAAAATTAATTAATTATTATGATTTTCTACAAATTATTACTAATACATAAATTTTGTTTTAAAGTATTCATTAAAAATTGCAATATTAAATAAAGTGTCTTTTTATAGATGTCTTTATCCAATTACATATAATAATTAATTTTATTTAATGAATTGTACAGATCTTGAGATTGATAAAAAGTCTAATGCTCATTTAAAAATGTAAGTTGATATAAGAGACAACAAATCAAAAATATAAAATTTTGAATCACCTCGAGCTTCTTTCAGCAAGAAAGAAAAAAGAAATCGAAAGTTTTTCCTTAAACGCTCAGTTTTTTTTGTTTCAATTTGTAAATAAACTGGAAACGTAGAATCGAATTTAGGCTCTGACTTTTTGCATATTGAAATAATGCAAGGAGGACACCTACCATTGAATCAATATAGTATAAAAGATATAAGATCAGAAACTTATGTGAATGATGATGATTATAAAGAATAAAATGTTGAGAACAGTTTAAAATTAGCTTCTACTCATCTAAGAAAGAAAATGACAGAGATACGTAATACCAAATACCATTGTGACCCTGTTTAAAGCTAGCTTAACGATTTTCAAAGATTAAATGAAAATTTTAAAGGTAATTTTACTAACATTTTTGATTCGTCATGCCGAAATTAAAGAGTTAGAATAGATAAGATCTCGGCTATTGAAGAAGCAAAAAAAATATTATAAGGCTAACATCAGCACATTAAGAAAATTTTAGATAAATAATGAGTTTTTACTTAAAAATCATCATTTTTTTTAAGTTATTGCTTATCTTAATTTAATATTATCAATATATTACCTTTCAAGCTTAGTATTTGATTCTAGCCTGGAGTAACTCCTATGACAAAATTCTGATTCTCTTGTATATTAATTTACTGATCCGATATTTACATTTAGATTCTTTAATCTAGGATTTGATTTTAGAAGAGATCAAGAGGTAAAATTGTATAGAATTCCATTTATATAACTAGGCAATAAAATAATCAATAAAAATTATCTATATATTTAAATATGAAATATAGAGTTTTTCTCTTGTTCTAACAATTGGTGTTCACTCGTCTTAGGTGAATGGTCTTAAGAAAATTTTTTGTTTAAATTTCTAATCGCATTTCAGGTATCATATGGCTTTCTAAAATTTTCAAAAAAATATTGAAAGTTTTAGGTTATTTTACAAATATATAATGTGAATTTTTATCATATTATTTCTACGTAGCTATGTAAAATTATGATTTTTGAATGAAGTCTTTGTATTTATTGAATTTAAATTTAATCAAAAATAGAATTTAATTCTAATAGGAATATTAATATAAGAAAAATAGTAAGCCATTAGAACATAGAAGCAGCTATTCTTTTATAACTTTTTCACAATCTCATTATAACAATTTAATTAAATACAATAAATGTTTATTTAACTTTTAATTAATTTAAATTTCGAAATATAATACTTAATAAAAAGTCATTGTGAGAATTTTAATTAATAATAGTTATACAAAAATAAAGTTCTTAAAATCGATTTTTTCATATATTCAATAAAAATGATCAATAATGAGAGAAATAATGATTTAAAATACTTAGTTTTATCAAAATAAAAAGAAATCCGCAAAAAAAATAATAATTATTGTTTATATAAACATAATTAGAATAGGAACTCATTAATTTAAAATTATTAGTTCTGTGCTTTATTATGTATCAGCATTTTTTGAATCTGTATTAAAGTCATATTATAAATAAATAACTCCTAAAATACCTGAAAATGAAAAAATGTAAAAACAAGCTGATATGCTAAAAGAGGAAACAAGAATAGGGAAAAATTAACCAACAATAGCTGTTGCCACCCAGTTAACACTAGTTGCTAAACAAACACCTTTTGGGGATACCATTTCTGGTAAAACAACCTAATTTAGAATTAGATATTTACCCAAAATGCTGGTCCTATTGTAATACAAAAAAGCAATATAAAAAGAAATATGAATAAAACTATAAGAATGGCTGGTTATTCTTATAATGAGGTCATATATCCCAGTGGAAATTCTACTAATACACAAGCTAGAGCTCCAAGCGAAAAAAAGTTTTTTCTTGACATTTTATTTAACACAAAGCCCATTAAATATGCTCCAAGAATTCCTAATAAAGGAATAAAAAGATTCAGTATATTAGATTTTTAAACATCATTATTTGTAATCTTGTTAAATATCTATGTTGAGTAAAATATAACTGCATTAATTCCTAATAGTTGTCCAATACATGCTAATAAAGATATTCTAATTAAATTCCTAAATAATCTTCCTTAAAATAAATCTTTGTATGATTCTGTTGAGCTTGCATTTTATCTATAAATATAATTATATCTATACTTTTTATTTTATTTAGTTTATTTTAATATATCTGAAATGTATTATTCTTAATATATAAACTTAATAGATTCTATAGCATTTGTTTCATCATTTTTACTCATATAATAATCAGGAGAATCTAAATTAAAGTATTTTATTAGATTGTAAGTACGATAGGCACAAATTAGTAAAGGAAAAGCAAAACCAACTCTCCAAAACTAATCATCTAAAGTTGGAGTTTATTTATACCTATATAATTTTAATATCTAATATACCATAAACCAATAGTGAAAGATATAAATAATCCAAAGCTACCAGACATAGTCATAATAGAACCCAATACTCCTTAGAGTTCTGAAGGACTAAACTCGTTAACATAAACGGGAACCTTAATAAAATTATTTAATTTTCTTTACCAATGCTGAATTTAGGCCAAGTACTACTCCAGCTATAAATCTTCCAATTACTAAAAATTTCCAAACTCCTACTAGTTACACTCCATATCCTAAAATTCCAAAACAATCCAAAATAATCAGTGATTACCTCCTACTAAAATATTATAACAAGTTAGGCATTATTAAAACTCCAACTGCAGCTCCAATAGTCAGTATAGCTAATTAAGAATATAAAATACCAGACAATAGACCATTATAATAATCAACATTTTCGGTGATTCCAAAAACTAGATCAACAGTTTAAAGTGCAGGATTCAAATAACCAACAGAGTATCCAAAATACACAAAACCAAGACTAGCATTAGCTACAAGTTGTTTTAATAGAGTAGCAGATTTATACATGAAACTATTAATTTATTTTATGGTAAAATAGAAACAAAGGCATTATTTATATTAATTCAAAATATAGATGTGTACTCTTATAAATAATCTAAGAAATATATAAAAAAATAATTAAATTCTCAATTAAACAAAATACTGAAATAAAAAAGTTTGACTGTTTAGCAACTAAATTTTAAGTTAGCATTTTATTATACATGTATATATTATGAGTACAATGTTTTTAAATACTATTATTATTTATAATTATAATGTTATAATTAAGAAAGCTTCCAAAATTTTTATTTTGTTAAAATTAAAACATTGATAAGAAAAATGTGACAGTAAATATGGAGTAGATAAAATAAAGAATAATGGATAGAAAGACTGAATTGCCATTTAAGGATCCTTCAATAAATAAAGTAAGAGAATTTTATGATACAAAACAAAATAAAAGGAAAACAGAATATATATTTGATTTTATAGAGCCAAGTTTGCATAATAAAGGAGTATTATAATAAGTATTTGGATTGGGTAATGGATACTTTTCAGTGAATGATGTTTGGTATCCAGGAAGTATATTAATATTTCCTTAATAAATATTTTTATGGGATGTATAGACAGCAGGTGATATAAGAGCACATAGTTTTGATATTTTGGAAGTGATAAAACCAAGACCAAGTAAAGAGTTTGATAAATAGATTAGGTTATGTTTTGATAGGGACAGGAAGAGAGAAACACAATTTACCAGATTCTTATTTTGAGAAGTTTAGAAAGTTTGGTATAAAGGTAGATGTAGTAGCAACATTTGAAGCGTGCAGTCATTTTAATTTTTGTAGTGAAGAATAAAGAGATGTTTGTGCATTTATGATTCCTTAAAATTTATGAATAAATATTAATTATTTATAAGTAGAAATGTTATCACATTAATTGTTATCTTAATGGAGAAAAGGTCCAACAAATAGTATACCATTAGAACCAGGACGTATAAATTATGTAATTCATTAGATGGTAGAGGGATATTCTGTATGGATATAATGAAGGATCATTTAGTTACAGGATCAGCAGATCATGGTTTAAGATGTTATAATATATCATCAATGAAATATGAAAAAGAATTATATTCAAAACGATATGGTCATAGTGAATGGGTGAGTTCAGTGTAACATTTATAGAATGGATAAATAGTATCAGCAGGAATGGATAGTAAGATTTGTTTATGGGATGCTAAGGGAGTTAGATGTAATGATCTAAATGGACATTAAGGATCTATAACTAAATTATTGGTAGATGAATAATCAGTATGTATATCAAGTTCATATGATTAAACTTTGGTAATTTGGTAATTAAGTTCGATGTAAGAAAGCAGAAAGTTATTTGGTCCACATAAAAGTGCAGTTTTAGATTTTGATTGGAAAAATTCATTATGTGTAAGTGGTGATAAATTGGGTACTGTAGTATTTTGGGATATTAATGAAGGAGAACCAGTAATGTCAAAACATGTACATTAAGGAGCTGTTTCTAAATGTTTATTATATTCGGATGGAGGTAATAATAATTTAGTAATTACTGCTGGTATTAATGATGGAACAATAGCAATTCATGATATGAGGACTAATAAATTAGTAAATTAAAGTTAAATTCATAAAGGATCAATTAATGGTCTGACTGTTAATCTTTAAAACTTTAGTAAGATTCTTATTTTATTTTCTAGTTATTACTGGAAGTGCTGATGCAACTTGTAAAATTATAGATATTGTTGCTGGATTTAAACCAGTCTCAATGATGAAGGCTAAAGATGCTGTTTTTTCTATTGAAACTATTTATAATATGACTATTGCAGGATGTGGAGATGGCAATATTCTATTTTATGATAATGATTCTGGTTAATGTCTTTATGGTTTTGGAGCTATGAATAAAGGTTGTGTAAGATAGATGAAAATTAATGATAATAAAACTAAATTAGTTGCTATTGGTGATGACTTTTCTCCTATGGTTTTATAATATTCATGATTATATTTATAAAAATTATATTATAATTCTATTTTAATAAATATTATTAAATGTCATTCCATAAAATTAATAAGAATAAATTAAATAATTATTATTTTTGTGTAAGAAAATGAGTTTTCGTTAAACAAAATGGAGGTTTTTAGCTGTATCTTTAGCTGCTCTTATACTTTTAGGAAACAATTATTCGTTTGATAATCCTTAAGCTTTACAAACATAAATTTAGTAAGAGTTAGAAATCAACATAATTCAGTTTAATTTACTTTATAGTGTATTTGCATTACCTAATATATTTTTAACAATTTTAGGAGGTAGAATAGATAGAAAATATTGTAGGCATGATTATTGATAGATTAGGAGTAAGATTTGGAATATTTACATTTACATTAATTGTTACAATAGGTTAATTGATTATAGCATTGGGTGGAAAATTTAATGAATATTCATTAATGTTGTTGGGAAGAGCTATATTTGGTGTAGCTAGTGAGAATTTAATAATTGCATAAAGTACATTTGTAAGTTTATGGTTTAAGGGTAGTGAATTAGCAACAGTAAAATATTGTAACTTAACATAGGCTATGGGGATAATAATGACTATTCCAGAATTAGGTGGTGCTTTAAATAGTTTATTAACTCCTTTAATTTATGAATCAAGTTAGAAATTGTCGGTACCACTTTTTACCAGTGTAGGATTTTGTTTATTTTCATTTGCATGTGGCATAGTTTTAGTTTATTTAGATAAATTTGCAGATAAATATGATTAAAGATGTGAGTAATAAGTTTGACATACTTTTTATATAGAATCTGATTCTCAATATGTTTTAGAATAGAATATGATAAAAAAAGAAGATGACGAAGATTAAGAATAGGAAAAATAAGAAGAATCAACTGAAGAAATTAGTTTGAAAGATATTAAATAATTATCAGGTACAGTTTGGATCCTATTACTGATTTGCACTTTTAGTCTTTGTATATTTATTCCTTTCTTAGATAATGCAAATTAATTTTGTCAATAGAGATTCAATCTTTCAAACATTTCAGCAGGTAGAGCGATTATGATAACTTATTTAACACCAAGTATAATATTATCACATCGTATTAGTGTTTATATCCCCATTTATAGGTTGTGTAGTAGATAGAGTAGGTTATAGAAGAAGATGGATGATACTAACATCCATACTCTTTATAATCTCTCATTTATTATTTGCAATAATACCAACTCCTGAAGATGGATCTCCTTAATTTGCAGCTGTAGTGCCTTTGTTCTTATTAGGAGTTAGTTATGCATTCTATTCATGTGTTATGATTCCTTGTGTTTAATATCTAGTTGATTAGAGAATCATGGGCACTGCATTTGGATTGATGGGATTATTTGAAAGTATTGGTGCATGTGTTTTCCCTCTTGTTTCTTCTTAAATCTATAATACTAATGGAAATTATAGGTAAGTTGGATTCTTTTATATGGGAATTGCATGTGTAAACTTGATCTTTGTTTTAACATTATATTTTGTTGATAATAAAGGTAGTGAAGTCTTAGATAAAATCAATCCTCTTCAAACAAAAGACCATGATATATCATCATCTACATCTGATGATTCTATTGCATCTGATCTAACTGATGAAGATGAAAAGGAATAAATTGAAATGAAAACTAATCTCCATTCATTCAAATTATAACCTTTAGAAACTAATAGTGACACTAAAAGCTAACCTGGAGATATCAAAATACAAAGATCTTTTAGCTTTGAATTTTCTATGTAAAATAAAAAATTAGATAATCCATGATAAATATCTATAATTTCATTTTTATTCATCAATTTCATTTTTTTTTTAAATATCTAGCTCTCTTTTTTCTACATAATCAAAATTTAAAATTAAACACCAATTCATCTCTAAAAACATTTTATTACTAACAATCAAGATATTTATTGTTTCTTAAAATCATTATATATAAATATAATTCTCATGATTAATAACAATCTTTTTGTTAAATTTCATAAAATCTAATCTTTTATATATAGAATTGCTCTTAATTCTTAAGATTTGAATCAAAAACCTGTTTTAATTTATATTAGATTATAATTTATCAACGGATATTTATTAATATTTTTATCTGTTAATGGAATTGTTTGCTAATAAATCTCAAAATAAAGAAAATAGTAACCCGGTATTAGTACCTAGTCTATATGAAATAATGTAAAAAGAAGGAATCTTTGCTAAAACAAATACATCAATACATTCTCATCATAGATTTTACTATAGAAAATAAATGCAATCTATTGTATAATCAAATCAGAATGCTATTATTGGTCATTCAAGTAGTTCCAAATCAATTCATAAGGATATTGAAAAGATTGCTAAATAATTATAATCTTAACAAATTTAAACAATTACTTAATTCAACTTTACTTAACCTTTAAAAGAAAGATATCCAACTCAATATTCTCATCCTTCTAATACTTAAATTAGTGAAGTATTGGAATTGTTTGAGAAAGAAAATTTAATGAAAATATAATAGATTAAACCAAGTACTCCAAGAAGATTATATACCCCATAAGTTAATTTTAAATTACCTACTTTAATTGATGAAAATAAGAGTAGAGATTAAGATAATAGTGAAAAGACAACTTCTCTTTTGAAAAATAAGCCATTATTCAGAAGATTTATCAATCCTTCTTTAGATAAAATTAAAAAAATAAATTAACCACCAGCAATAGTTGAAGTTAGACATAAAAGAATAGCTTCTTAGATTTTAAATAACCCTATAAATTAAAACTAATAAAAAACTATCAAAGATAGAATTAACAAAGTCCTATAAAATTCACATAAAATTATATCTATTTGCCATAAAATACCAGAAATATAACAACAGATAGCTGAAGAACAACTATTAAATTTAATTAATTCTGATCATTTTAAAATTGAATTTCAACATTTAATCAATAATTCACAAAGCTGTAATACAAATATGGAACTTATTTTATAAAATTTTATGATTGATCAAATCAAAAAAATGAAAGAGTTATAGGAAGCTGAAAATAATTTAGAATGTAACGTATTTCATTTAATTACATAGAAAAAAAATAAAATTTTTCAAGGTTGCTATCCAGTTATATACAAGAACTCAAAGACAAATTATGATTCTACTAATATATATTTAATGAAATATTTTAATTCATTAATTGATTTAAATCAACTTGGTTATCATTCTTAACTTTTTATAATATGAAAATAAATAAATTATTTTTTTAGTTAAAATAAAAGTCCATATATTTGATTAGTAAATAAAAATAGTTTAGATTTTTGATTTAATTAACTTAATTCTTTTTTAAGCTAGGAATCTTAACTTCATTAATTCATTTAAGCTTATATAGCTGCTATCAATCCATAAGCACCATCATAAATGAAAAAAAATTAATTTTTAAAGTTATTTCATAAAATTATAATACTATATTAAAATTGTATCTATCATAAATTAATAATTAAATATTATTTTTTGGCTTAAAACTTTTTAAATAAATCTGTGTCATTAAATGAATATTTAAGAAGTAAGGATTTGTTATTATTCTATTTATTCACATAATCTTTGAATTCTTGATATATTTTTAAATCTCTTTATTCTTTGAGATTTTAAATTTTAATTTCTCTTTAATTCAGTTAATTTTATTGTTTTAATCTGTTTTGCCATAAGAATTAATGTTTTAAACTATGTTAAGGTATCACAGCTAAAGGTTAAGTAGTATATTCAGATTGTTTAGGCTTTTGTTGAGAAATGAATAAACTTTAATGATCATAATTTTCAATTTTTTAATTGAAATTATTAATGGAATTATCAATAAAATTATATGTAAATTATTAGTATTTAATTTAGTTTTAGATCGATTAAGATTTTGGTCTATTTCTAGATTAAGATGATCTAAGTTATCGTTATTTAAATGAATTTGTTCTAGGATATTGCTTATTAAAATTTGTAGTTTTTTCTTTAGATGATTCTGGTTAAATTTATTTAATTTCATCTAATGTTATTTCATCATTAGAAATTGATGATTCAGAGAGACTGATATCAGAATATTAATCATTTAAGAGTAAACTCTTTGTGGATTTTTCATAATCTGAATTTTTAGAAAGAATATTAACAATTTATTTTCCCATAGATCTTAAATCATTTAGAGTAAAATCAACAATTTAATTATCTTCTTTATAACCAAAGTATGAAATTTCAAGTGTATAAATATTTTGTTTCATATTTAATAATTTTTACAAATAAACTCTAGCAGTATGATTCAAATATCTAGTATTTTTCATAAATCTACTATTTTCTAGACTGAATCTTTTATCAGAGTCACAAAGATCATTAATGAATTGATTGCAACTATGGCCATAGAAAAAGGCAGATAATCTAATATATAAGATTTGATTACTTTTTGCTATGACCATGTATGTCTAGGATCAATTAGATAGGATAGTTTTAATGAAAATGATAAATTAATTTTTCAACAGAAATTAATGTATTATTTCTATTACATCCCCATTTTCTATTGAGATCAAAACCCTCTAAACCACATCTCTAATTTCCATGCACTACTCCATCAACATTTAACATAGGAATGATTTTTATAACAAATTTATTCCTCAAATCATCAGTCTCAACTGACAATAAAGCATTAATAATTCCTTCAATTATATATGAACTTGATGTTTCCCCTGGATGCTATCTACCTATAAATAGTAATCCTTGTTTATTATCTTGGTTATCATTTGTTATTGTGATTATTTATATCTCATTTCCAGCTGAACTTGTAACAATGTTTTTAACTTTCATAATTTTATCATAGAGAAGACATTTATTAGACAGATAAGTTTATAGATTAGAATAAGTGTAAGGATAATTGGATGCAAAATATACAGTTCCTTACTCAATAAAGGTATAACTAAAAGATAAAGAATAATAGAAGGAAGAATCATTTCTTAAAATGTTATTTTTCTTGAAAGATAAACCTAAAGAGTCTTTCCTCCAATAATTACATTCATTTAAAAGTATTTTCATGCCTTATCTATAAAAACACATATCCTTATTGATGTTGATAATGCTGAGTTTAATATTGCATAGGTTTGGACTATTATTTGAAATGGAAAAGTAAAACCATTGTGTATATCCTTTGGTATTGATATCGTTTTGAAGTAGAAGAATATAATCTCGATCGCTTTTCTAATTAGGAATGATAGAGGTACTTTAAAAACTTAGAAAAGGTTTCCACTTTCAAACAGAGAGTCAAATTTAATATCTTCATCACTTTAATAATAGTGAGATGGATCAAAGTTATTACCTGGTTGATGAAGAAGAGTTGCATATATGGTTTGATTCTGTTAAGGTTAATATTTTTAGTATATCAGTTTTAATGGTTTGATGAAACCTTGAAGAGTGATTGATTTTTAGGTTTAACATTCTTATTCTTATTATTGAATTGGAGTTTTGTAGGTTGTTTCTTATTCATTTGTTTCTAAGTAACTAAAATACTTCAAAAAAAAAAACAATACTTTTTCTTTAATGGCAATAATGAGTTTACTTTATGCAATTGTAATTGTTAAATCAAGATTGGATTAGGCTTAGGGAGTTTATCTTTGATGAATGAATAAAAAATCAAATTTTCCTTATCTTCCTTTTCTGATTGGTTTTTCTTTACATCAACAGTATAACTTATATTCTTCATATATTAACGTATAGATTTTTAATATTGTTATAGATATTAATATTCATGAAAAATTGACAGACAATAATTCAGATTAATGGATGTTCTGATACTATTGATAATCTCTTCTATCTTAAGGGAGATTTTGTAAGTAACAGTGATGATGATTTAATGATCATTGGTGGAGTCATTTCAGAATTATCTGTATCTGAATCAAGGGAACGATAAGAAAAAATCAATTATTTTTTGGTTTGCTCAAATTTAAACTATTTTTATTATGGGTCAGTCAAGAATATTAATTTCAATTCTTACAAATAATTCACAATATTTTTTTCTTGAGATGTAATTTCATTGAGAGAATCCTCGAACTCCATGGTATCATTCATTAAATTAAATAATTTATTTATTATCAATTTGATAATTTTACTAGAAGTTATATGTAAACAAATTTATAATTGATTCTATCATTGATTAAAATATTGCTGATTATTAACGCTTAACTTAGAAATCTTATTAACAACAAAATATCTCTCAAACGGCAATTTAAAAATCATAATAAAATTAGATATATATTCAATAAATTTTATTTATCATATTAATTTGATTTGATTTGATGTTTGGATAAAGAGCATAAAAATACTAACAGTTCCATGACGAATAAAGAGTGTAATCAAACAAATAAGAATTTCCATAAGAAGTTAAGGCTAATATTGGAGGAGAGAGAGATGGGAATTCAGATTTTCCATCAGATTAGATTCCTCCTGATTTTGAGTTGGCAGAATTACACAGAGTATAAAAGAGTATAGTAAATATAGGAAGCTTGGAATGTGGGAATAACTAAATTATCAAAGAGACAACTAAGAAGATTAAGATTGCATTAAAATAATGAAAATGTTAAAGAAGAAGAAAGGTTGATTGGATAGATTTGTAAGTGTTGTGCTCGTTAAGTACCAAATGATAGAGTGGAAATAGATTGTAATAATTAAGATTACTCGTTTCTAGGAGCAGGTATTTAAAGAATAAATTTAGGTATGCCACTGTATTTTGAATACATAAAAGCATGTATTCTAATGTTGATAGTAATGTTTGTGACATCAGGTGATTATAATATAATAACAAATATTGCATTTGGTTAATCATGTTAAACGTTGGATAAGAGTTTTGGGATAGAGATAGATGAGAAAACAGTTTGTATATTTAATTGGGTTACAGGATTATCATTAGCTAATAAAAGAGATGATTAAGAATTCATAGATTTATAATAGATGCTCAATTTGATATCTATGTTAACACTAATCTTTTTATTTCAATATTTTAGAAAGGAGCAGAGAGCATTTGATACTGAAATTGATTCAAATACTTATTATGCATCTGATTACACAATATTATTAAAGAATATTCCAACAAATTCAGAGGGATTAAAGAATGATGATTTTGATCATGATCTTAAAGAATATTTAGAAACTTATATAGAAGGAACATACACTAAACCATTAGAAGTTCAAGATTATGAAGAAGAACTTAGATAATTTTAATAAAGAAACAATAGACCATTAAAGAAATTATCAAGAGTAGTGGCTGTAAATCTATGTTACAATATAGAACAATAATCTATTTTAGAGTAGGAGAAATAGAGTAAAATAATTTAGAAATAGAAAGTATTGATAAATTAATAATTTTAGTTGTTACCTCAATTATATGATTAAGGTTTGATTCCAGGCACTGGTGATATAAAAAATAATGAATAAATAAAGGAAATTGATAGTTAAATAATTGAGATTGAATAAAAATTGGAAGCATTGGAGAAAAGATTTGTTGAAGGAAAGGATGTTAGATAATATTTTTTAGGATAAGCATTTGTAACATTTAGATGGGAAAGTGATGTTTAATGGATGTTGATAGATCATAGATTATCATTATGTTCAAGAATTCTTGGAAGAAAGAGTAATTTAATATATAGAGGTGCATAATTATAAGTTGAATAACCACCCGAACCAACTGATGTATTTTGGGAAAATCTTCACATTAAAACATATCAAAAGATATGGAGAAGAATATTAGGATATATTTTAACTTTTATAATCTTAGGAATATGTAGTGGATTGATATATTAGTTATCAGCTGTCTAAGCTAATAGTGCAGATTAAATGGCTAAAGCTATTAAGAATGGAGATTTAAATGTTAATTATAAAGTTAAAGTGATTGCATAATTAGCATCTATTTCTATTATAATTATTAATTATGTTCTAAGCATTGTAATTAGAAAGGTCTCTCTTTTTGAAAGATTTTCTACATAAACAGGATTTAATATTAGTTTAGCAAGTAAATCTAGTGTGGCTTAATTTATAAATACTGCAGTTATTACATTTGCAATTAGTACATGGGTTACTTAAAATATTTATGGAACAGGAGGATTAGTTTATAATTAAACTTATGTGTTTATATCTAATGCAATTCTACCTGCTTTAATTTAATTCATAGATTCATCAACTATTATGAAATGGATCTTCTAATTTCTAGAAGTAAGAAAAGGCAAGTCTTCAATTAAAACATAGAAATAGTTACATGAGTAAATCTCATATTAATATATATAGTCTATATGAGAGACCTGTTTTTGATATATCTACATCATATGCTAATGTCTTAAGAAATATGTATGTTGTTGCTTTTTATGCCTCTGTTATACCTATTGGTCTAGTTATAACGTGTTTCGCTTTAGTTCTTTTTTATTGGGTTGAAAAATATAATATTGCAAGAAGAAGAACAATTAAATACAATTATAGTTCAGTAATGTCGAGAGAAATGCTTGAACAATTAGAGTATGTTTTACCTATTTATTGTGTAAGTATTTATAATATATATCAATAGTTAACCAATCTTTGGTGGGAATATGTTTTCTTAGAATCTATTTCCATTGAAGCCATTATTGGAGTTGTCTTTGGAGTAGCCAATGCTATTCTACCTATGCATGAAATTAATAAACTATTATTCAGAATGAAAGTATAACCAAATGAGCATCTTCCAATCAATGAGGCTGAAGTCAATTTTCTTACTGTATTCTCTTTCATTATATTAATCTAGGATTATTGTAGAGAAAATCCTGCAACTGCTGAAACCGAAAGAGCTAGATACTAAGAAAGAGTTAATAGACATTAAAAAGATAAAATTGCTATGGATTTAATGTTTGATTAATGAGAATCATTTATAAATTAAATGTAATAACCATTTTAAATATAACAATTTTATTAATTTTTTATATAATAATTGACTCCATCATTCTTTCTTTGCATGTTCTTCAGTCCAATATTATTATAACTTTTAGCTTCCATGATCAGGAACCATTGTTGGTTTTCCTGGTTTCCAAGAAGCGGGACAAACCTCACCATGTTCATCTGTGAATTAGAATGCTTATACTAATCTATAAAATTTATATGCGTCATTGATTACCTCAATGTTTCATCAACATTTCTACCAACTGGTAAATCATTGACTGAATAATGTCTAAGCACACCATTCTTATCCACTATGAATGTACCTCTAAAAGCTACACCAAAATCTCCATCTTAAGGATCATCAATTAGAACTCCATAATCAGCAGAAATAGTCTAGAATATTCTTCAAATAAAATTATTACTTTTCCTAAATCAGCAATCAATGGAATGTGCATATCACCTAATCCTCCTTGATTTCTTGGGGTTTAGCAATACTTCATGTGTGAAAAATGGGAATCGACTGAAACAGCAGCAACTTCACATCCAATCTTACGGAATTCCTATTTAAAGTTTTTTATATCATATATTTTACTTCAACTCTATCAGAAAAGGCAATAATTTCAGTTGGGCATACAAAAGTGAAGTCCAATGGATAAAAGAATAAGACTAAGTATTTGCCTTTGAAATCTGAAAGTGACACTTTCTTGAATGATCCATTCACATATGCTGTTGCTGTGAAGGCTGGAGCAGGTTTTCTTATTTTAAGCTTCTAACTCATATCTTATTTTTATTATTGCACTCAAATATTTTATATCCATTTATACAGTGACGACAATTAAATTTAATTACGATTGTGTATTTCAATTATGTATAAGAATAATGTGATCAAAATTAGAAAACCTGCTCCTAATTTTTGTGGAGAAGCTTATTATAAAGATGGATTTAAGAAAGTTAGTTTAATACATATAACATAGATCTCTTTGAAAGATTTCAAAGGAAAATATCTATTAATGTTTTTTTATCCATTTGATTTCACATTTGTTTGTCCAACCGAAATCATTGCCTTTTCTGATAGAGTTCAAGTATTACTTATCAAAATAACTTTTTAATAGGAATTCCGTAAGATTGGTTGTGAAGTAGTAGGAATATCAACAGATCAGAAATTCTGTCACATGAAGTATTGTGAAACAGCAAGAGATCAAGGAGGATTGGGAAAACTAAATATTATGTTAATTTCTGATATTGGAAAAGTGAGATTATACTTATCTTATTCTAGAACATTTCCACAAATTATGGATGTTTAATAGATGATGAGAATGATGAAGAGTATGGAGCTTCATTTAGAGGAACTTATATAATTGATAACAAGGGAATTTTAAGGCACTATTCAATTAATGATACTTCAGTGGGAAGAAATGTAGATGAATATTTAAGGTAAATTTAAATTGATTGAGAGATTGATAGAAGCATTCATTTATACTGATACACATGATGAAGTATGTTAAGAATCTTGGAAGCCAGGAAATCAAGGAATAAAATGTATCAAATAAAGTGTTCACAGCCATAATTCATCAGCTTGTTGTTCAATGATTTGATATTCAAATTGTATTCAGAAATAAAAAAAATTATTAACAATTTTAATTAAGAATGATTAAATATAATCAAAAAATCCTTTTTTTCGAAGAATTTATAATAACTTTTCCATATTTAAAAATTCTTGGAGTGTTTCAATAGACCATATATATAATTACTTAGGAAATAATTAGAATATATAAGCTTAATTCAAATATTATTCAATTATGGAATCTTTCGTTCCTTTTTTTGTCTATTATATAAATTATATTCCTTCATCTTATTTAATTTTCTAATCTTTAAACCAAGTTTACAAATTAAGATTAAAAGAATGTTATTTTTTTTAATTCAAAAAGGTTCTACATTATACTATTTATTTATATATGAGATGTAGGAATAAAAGGATCAATAAGATATGTAATAGAAAAATTTTTGTGTTAAAAAATATCAATAATTTAATATTTAAGATATTTCATAAATGAAGAAGAATTATATATAATTATATATTATTTTTTTAGAGCTCAAAATTTTAATGAGGTGATATTGTATTTGAAGTATCTTCCTAAATGAATTGATGGAATACATAATTGATCTAATGTAATAGAATATTAAATTTTTTCTTTCAAATAATACTTTTTTTGATAATGAATTTTTAATAGAAATGAAATTATTTGTAAGAACACTAATAGGAAATATTATTACTCTAAATGTTGAACCATCAGACACTATGGATGCTATCAAGTGTAAAATTTAAGATCAAGAAGGAATCTCAACTGATTAATAAAGATTACTTTTTAAAAAAATGACTTTAGAAGATGATAGAACAATTTCAGATTATAATATTATGGAAGAATCTATTCTCTAATTAAAATTGAAACGCGGAGGTGGTTTATTTTTCGTTAAGACTTTTTCTGGAAAAATCATAACGATTAATTTTTTCTATGCTTCTACTATTGAGGAAATTAAATTTAAAATTATGGAAAAATTAGGAATACCACCTGATTAATAAAGACTTTTTTTTGGATGAAAGTAATTAGAAGATGGAAAAACAGTTGAAGATTATAATATTCGAATTGAAGCAACTCTCTTATTAGCTTTAAGATTGAAAGGTGGTTGATGATTTTTTTAAATATTCATTTAATTATTATTTATTAATATAAAAATATTCATATTTTGATCAATTATTTATAATTATGAATCACTTTTAAATCTAAATTTTTTACAATATTTTATTTTAAGTTTCATAAATGTATAATAATTATAAATTTCTCTGAAAATTGATATGATCTTTTTGTAATAGGAGGAGGTTCAGGGGGTCTATCAAATAGTAAAATAGCAGCCTAATAAAGGAAAAAGGTTGCTGTAGCAGATTTTGTTGTTCCTTTTCCTAATGGATAAACATGAGGAATATAATAAATAAGTACTTGTTAGAAATAAATTATTAACAAGAATAGATGAACAATATGCAAAATTTTTTGAATAATATTGATAGAACAAGGAATAAAATTTCATCACAGATGTACACTTCGAAATAGAAGG